AGGGCACATCAAGGATCTCCACAGAAGTGAAAATCTGGCTCAAAATCCATCCATTCACAGTAATCTCCTTGTATATCACAAAAATCTGGAGTACTTTTGCAACACAAATTGTAAAACTTGTTTAATAGCTCTGCCAGCCTTGAGAGTTTCCCAACATGTTTGACAAAACTACAAATCAACAAAATAAAACAAGCTAGTGAGTGGTTCTAACTAAATGCCAAGTACAGCAAGAAGAAAATCAATCCACAGGAGCAAGTAATAGTCCCTTTTTTTTTTTTCTTCCTGCTGTCTTTATGCTTAAGACTAAAATAGCCAAGATATATTTAATGCATGGAATGACTGCAGCAATATGTAATACTTGAAACAGGGGCCTGGGATAAGTCTCATCATCAACAATAATTGTTTACCAGACACAAATATCCTGTAGGTGTTAAATGAACACTAGGGACTAGTGTACATGTGACACAGAGAAAAGATTGTCCTGGGGTATTGGAAGCCAGGAGCACAGCTGTGAAATTGCTCTGGCAGACACTGTCACAGCTAATAACATGATCCTTTCAAACACACACATTAGAGTCTTCATGGCATTTGTAATTTGTTGAAACTCCCAATCCGTCACTTCATTCTGAGGACATGAGGAGAAAGCAAGCCTGTACTCTGCTTGCCTGCACACACCTCGGCTCACCAGCACTTTTTACATGTTTTACAGCACTTCTGCTAAAACGCTGGGCAGGTATTAAGGGGCAAGCAAGGAGGAGAGTGATTTCTGTTGCTTGCACACTTATGGCTACATAAGAGACAGCAGCACAGGCATGCCAGGGAAAATTGCATTTGTGAGATTCCTCACCCGCGTATTCAGAAATATAGCAATTGTGATTCAGGTGCAAAGATAAACCACTGGCACCATTTAAATGAACTCTGTGTTTCTGAAATGCCAACTGTAAAAAACTGCCGATATTTAATTTCATTAGATATACTGCATCTGGTGTTTATGGCTTAGTGCTGTTGCCAGAGAGCCCCAGGAGCTTCGGTCTGGGAGCCAAGCCAGTGTCTACCAACTTAGTTGGACTACTGTGGATACACAAAGATCCAATATTCCTCTGATTTAAAGCTTTCAGGCAGATTTTCAGAGACTTTTGTTTTATTTATAGCTAGCATGTGCGGAGAGAAATAAAACAGTGATTTAATATGCTGCGCAATTATGGGCCTACTTCTTCCAGTTTCACATGTCAGTAGCTTATTTTGAAGCACAGAGAATTGGAAATCTGGTTATTTCTACTTTAAACATTCATACGTGGATAGACACAAAAAAAATCCAGTAATGGAACGCCTTTCCATTAAAAAAGGAAAAGGCCAAATACGGTTTTGTCACAAAATCTGGACACTTACACTATTTGTACAGATGGTCATTGTAACTGTTACAGTCACATAACAGTTAAATATTTTTTTCTTCTTCCACTCCTTATGGCACAGATTTATATCCTTCTGTTACAGGAAGCACTGACTTGTCAATGAAGATGCTCTGGTGTTCTGATCCTTGAAGTTTTAAGATTCTCTTCTGCTTGAAACTGAAGTGCTCTCCAACCCTCCCTACAGAAAATCAGAATAATTCTGTTCATTACATTGACAAAAAACTGTATGCCTCAGTCTAAAGAAAATAAAACAGAATTAGTAAAATAAAGTGTATATATATTCCATCTTTGGGGAATATTTTAAGCATAGACAAAAATATTAAACAAAAGTGTGCACAATTTTATTTCATGGGGACATGTAGGATCTTGGCCATTTGCTGAAAATGTAAGGCTGCCAAATATCACAGATTCACACCTTGAGTCTGGAAATTGAGTTCACATGGCAAATCCATGCATTTCTTGTGGTGTCTGCATTCCACCAGCCTTTCCTTTACCTACTACTCAGTTTTACACTTCACTGGCTGCTGAGCTGGATTGCTTCACAGTTTTTGAACAAGGAGAGCCCAATTTTGCAAAGTCCCACTGACTGTCACAGAGCTGCTGGCAGAATACCTGGCTGTATGCTTGACAGGTTTTCAGAAGTGGGGAACATAAGAAAACCAAAGTGTTTGGGAGATCAGGGCCCCCGCTCAAAGCCACTGGCATGAGGAAAAGGCATAATATGGTGCAGTTCAGGCAAAATTCTTCCATTCTTTCATTCTGAAAAAGTAATCAAAAGGAAAATCCTTAAAGGCTGAACTTTTACAGGCCACCAGATTATACTATGAAAAAAAACCTGAGACTTCCGTGAATATCTGACTTAACCAAAACCCTGGCATACTTTTAATTCATATAAACCCGTTCCTTGTGTCTAATTAGCTGAGAGTATGGGACTAGTGTTTCCCTTAAAGAGGAACTTAAAGAGTGGTTAACCAGATCCAGACCAAGGCAACAACAGTAAAACAAGGTTTCAGGCAATCTCATTAGAAATCTTGCACAGATCCATCATCTTGCCACTGTCTATAGCAGAGAACTTTATGGTGAGATTTGCTAGATAGTGCAAGAGTCACCATTATAGTTGTTGAGCCTGACAGGAAATACATTTCTAGCACCTAAGGGTAATTAGCAAGATAACAAATATAGACTGCACTTTTTAAAGTTCAGAAACCTATCTAACATTAATGCTGTTTTTCATAATGCTTCCTCAAACCTAAAAGTGATCTTTAAACTCTTCTATTATTTATGAGGTAGGTAGCCAATTATCAGGCATTCACTCACAGACTTTTATCATTGAAACTGCAGCATACCTCTAGTGCCTTCACAGCTCAGAGCTTTGAGGTCCACATCTGGCTAGGACACAACACGACATGTCTATGACTGCAGCTTCTGTTGCTTTACCCACCCCCAAACAGGCTAGCTAGCACAGGCATCACAGTCACTATGCTGTTATGCAGGAGCCTCACAGTTCAAGATAGTCAGGTCAAAAAAACTGAAAAATACTCTGACTTTTTACCTTTACTAAATTATTTGCTTGTAGAGCTGTCTTGCTAGCAAGCCTGAGCTACCTAGTTCAAAGATAGACCAGGTAGCATTGCTAAGCTGCGGTCACTGCTGTACAGACACATCTTGTATGACAAAAGCTATATCACCTCTTTTCTTTTACCTTACATTGTGATACTTTGTGAGGAGTATTTTTCACTGGATGACTTATCTGTCTGCTTATGTCCAGGATGTGCTGAATTACGTGCCTTTTTCTGTAATGTGCCTGTTTCAACACAAACTGCAAACAGCATTTCACAGGACTCAACTTTTCTTGTTCTGTCTTACCTGTGTTTAAAATGTTATTTTCTGGAGTACTTAAACAGCAAAGCCCGCTGCCCTCCCTGCCTCTAAGGGGACATTGCACAGCATCCCTTGAAATTCTGGGATATCTTTAATTCCTTTTCCCTTCCCATCTGCTGCCATTATTTTAAAATCATTTCCTCTTCATTTCTTCTGAAGGTCTTCAGGTTTTTTTAATTCAGATTTCTGCTGGCATACCCGTGTTTGGAAAAGTTCTTTGAAAGGGATCTGTTGTCAATACCACATCAGTCATCAGCTCAAAAGCCAAATGGATTTCTCAGAACTCCTGCTTGTTTAGCCATCTTTCTCTGTAGTTCTCCCAGTGGGACAGAATGAAATTAAATTTCAACTAGGCTTTAAATTATTTAGTCAGAGATAATTGAGTTTGGAAAGTCATACTGGAGAATGATCACCCAGGGAAGTAGGTAAATATGATTTTGGGGGGGGGGGGGGTAGGAGAAAGGAGTTGATGTGTTGTGTTAGGTACAGTAAAATCACAAATGCTATCAGTTCTTATAGTAAAAGGCACAAGCAGCTCTTTCATCCTGATCGCGCAGAAAATTATTTCCGGCGCACTTAAGAACGGCATCCTTTCTCCTCAGAAGGAATCAGGCCGTAAGGGTGCTGAAAAACCTGGTGAACAGATTACCTCATTTTTAGGGGGATTACATTTTCCAAATAAAAGAAGCAGCAGAACTTGTATTTACATTATTAACTTTGCATAATGTCATGAGGGTGTCCTATAAGGGACAAAAGCTAACTAGAATAAAACAGCTGTGTTAATCTCACTGCTGCTTTTAACTCAACAGTGACACGGACAGGCTTCCTTGACGAAAAGGTATTTTCTAGTTTAGCTATATCTGAATCTTCATAAAGCAAGGATCATTCATATATACCTTAAGTACTAAAATAGCTCTGTTAATACCCATCCTTATTTTACTCCCCTGTCTCTCCAGCCACCATCGAGCACTGTCATTCCCCTGGATTTATCCTGACAGAAGCAGAACAGTCCTGCAACCGCTTTCCTTGGACAAGTATTTCATAATTACCTTTTCAGAACAACCCAAACCCTACCCTAACAGACTGGAAAAAAATCCACTCCGACTGATTAGAAAGGAACCAAGACGATGTAGGAGCTGAGGAAAGACAGTTGGGGCTGGCACGCACCAGCACCTCCGAGGCAAAAGGATGCTGTTTCGAGCAACTCTCACACGCTGGGCTCACTGCCGACTGTGCCATGAATGGCTTGGGGTGACCTGCCTACTGGGTGCTGCTTTTTCATTTTCCAGGGACGACAGACAGTCCCAATAGGGCAGGAAAGCACCACGCTTTCGCAGTGACTGTGACAAGCAAAAACATTCTCCTGCATCCACACACATATACATCACAGAAGTAAGCGGGAACGTACCTCTACGCGTGTGTAAGCACACACCAAGGCAGCAGTGACCACTCTCACGCACATAGCACAAATAAACATGCTTTTACATCATACCAGAAAACATAAATTTCTGGGATCGGTATCTCTGCCAGAAAGCTCCACTGTAACACTGTCCCCGGGTCAGAGGCACCGCTCTCCTCTCCCCAGAGCCGGGAGAGGCCTCGAACGAACCGTCCCGCACCCCTGAGACAACCAACGGCCCGGCCCACGCCTGGCGGGAACTCGCCAGCGCCCCCGCCTCCCCACCGCGCCTGCGCGCCCCCGCCTCGTCGCCACAGCAACGGCGGGCCGCGGCGCCCCAGCATGTCGCTGCCCGAGCCCCTGAGGAGGCAGCTGGGCTCCTTCAGCCGCACCGTCTTCACCGACAGCCACCACAACGGCCCGCAGTACCCGGGCGACCGCGCAGGTAAAGCGCAGCGCCTCGCTGGGCGGCGCTCCAGCAAGAAAAATGGCGGCGGGGAGCTTCCCCGGAATGAAGATGGCGGCGTCAACCGTCGCCTGGCGGCCGCTGGGGCGGGGCCTCGGGCTGACGGCCCTGCCCGCCCCGGGGAAGCGCCGTGAGGGCTGTGTTCTCCCAGCGGCGGGGCGGCCTCGGCTTTCTCCCCGATTCCCCCAGGCAGACCCGTGCAATCTGCAGGGGTAGCCGCCTCGCCCCCCGCCCCCGCCGGGCAGGAAGGCTGAGGTGCCGGTCCCAGAGCCCCGTCGCTGTCCTCCAGATCAAGGGGGGTCCTGGGAGAGGGCCTCAGAGTAACCCTGCCGACACAGGTACCGGCCCGGCGGTGAAAAGCAGAGGTGCCTTTTAGACGAGGTCTGGTGTCATTTCAGTCGCGTAGTGGGGCTTCGTGGATGCTGTCTGGGGTAAAACTACAGCAGCTGCGCTATGACCCTGTGCTTCCCATGCCGCGATGCTGCAGGCCTGAGACGGGCTTAAAATATGAAACAGGGAACTGTCTTGATTTAAAAGCAGGTATGGAGAACGCTCTACACCCGCCTTTACAGCTTAGTAAGCAAGCTTGCGTAAAATATTGCAGCTAACATTGTTACTCACACCCCGGGCACCCTGCCTGTGCCCAAATAAAAAGTAGAAGTGATTTACGGAGAACACAGAGCAAATAAAAGACCTGAGCTGCTGTTTTATGCTCAGTAGTCCTGCACAGTTAGGGCACCAGGTACTTAAAGCATGAAGAGGTGTACTAAGCTAGTTAGGCAGCAAAAACTCAAGCTTGCAATATGCCAGCTTTCTCTTTATTTTTCCGGCTCTATTGTAATGATTGATAACTGTTCCTTCATCATATTGCCAGTGAAACTTGCAGGCCAACATGCCCCCTTTTCATACCTTTAGAGTAGCCATGAAAATAGTCTCTCTACATAGAAAGGCTATATTCATTTCAACTGATAAATCCATTCCAAGCTGAAAAAATTAATCAAAAAGTCATTCTTATTTCAAGACTCATTTTCTTTGTGTAGTTATACTGCTAAGTTACTAATTCTTCCTATCATTTATCAAAACTGAAATATTTTTCTTAACTCCAGGAATAGCTTCTATTTTTAGTAATTTTTTTCTGTTTCCCATTATGAAAACTCCTATGTGAATATCCAACCCACTGAAACCAGTTGCAAATGTACCACTAACTTCTTGGAGATCAGGATTTCAAAAATTAAGTTTACACATACATACCTGAGTGAGTTGCTCTAGCATCAAAAATTGGCCATTGCAATACTCTCTGGCTTTTCCATAAATTTTAGCAATCCCAGAAAATAAGCATTAGTTCAATTTAGGGATAAAGATGAATTAGAATTGGCTTATATTGCTAAACATTCATCCAAAATAGAGTTTTAAAACTTGAGCAGAACTTACAAATACCAATGCTATGTCAATGAAACCTTTAACATACCTAAAACATTGTCATCACAATTGAAATTAGAGCTCTTGGCTTGTCTGTTTTTAAGTAACATGGCCACGAACCACTAAGTTTTCATCCAATACATACAGGGCATAAACATAGTTACCTGTAATTGGATGGTCATGGTTTTTTGGAAGATAAAACAGTGTTTTAGAATTTTATCTCAGTGCCCTCCAAAGTCCTCCTGGTGTTTAAGAGCTTCATGCATTAGGACAGCTGGGACAATATTAGGTAGATGGTAAAACTGATTTTGAGGTACCTATAGATTTTCATTCCTTTGCAGGTGTAAGAAAGTGTTGATGCTTAAAAATGGGATTATTAAATATATATATATATATTCGTTGTCTTGCACCTTCTATTTCAGTATAACAAATCCCTGCCCCTCACACCCTACCCTTAAGGTCTGTCCCAGTTCTGTTCCCAAATCCTCCTCCCTTCCCATCTAGTCTAGTAGCTACCATGAATACTTCTGCAGCTGGCATAAAGACTTCTGGAACAGAGTGTACCCGGCTGCATGTGGCTGGACTGGAAAAAGGGATGCCAGACTGAGATGGAACAAAGACAGGTATGAGAGTCATTGGAAGATATGGAAAGAGAAGGCAATGTCAGAAGAGAGGTGGTTCTGAGGCTGGAAGGAAGACAATGTGACTGTTCAGACTCATTTTCACTCGAATGTCACCATTGTGACAGACGGGGGCACAGGTCTTGAATACAAATCAGCAGGTCACAATGAATACTTTCTAAACTTGCTCAGGTAGTACCAAGTGAAGATGTGCCTACATACTTCATTTGGGGAAAACATGAGAAAGGAGACCATTGGTAATTGAAGTAAAGTGAATACAGTGTCAGTTAACTAGAATATGACAATAAAATGTCACCCATTAAAAATGAATGATTCCCTTAGAATGCCCTTTTAATTTTTCCTTGTTTTAAGTCTAATCTTGTAGGCCTATTATAAAATCCTAAATATAGAACTTATTACCTGCATGTTAAGAGTTCAATATTTGCTTTTCTCTACATTGTATGAATGCATTTTGTTCTCTCCAGACTTTAAAGGATAAGTTTTAGTTTGACACGTATTTGAAATTGTTAGCTCTTAAGAACTAGAAGAATTACTGACTTCTTGCAACATCGCTTCCATCCAAATGTCTATTTAAATAAAGATTGACAATGAAGAGTGGGCAATACAAACCTGCTCTCTAGCAGTAAGTTCTTAGTCAGGAGGATCATCTACAAAATAACAATAATCCAGCATGTACTCATTTAAACTTTGGCCATTCTCTTAGGAACAGCAGTGAAATAACCACTAACTTTTCTGCAGTGTCCGTGTACAGCACTACTTGAGCTAAGCCTATCAGTCAGAGATTGTGGAGTAAGCAATAAGCCACCAGGTGATTAACAATCAGACACTCAACTTGAATATATGACTAAGTGATAAAAATTCTCTGTCCTGTGAACTGAAAGTTGCATTAGATTCCAGGAAATGGTGTAACTCAAGATAGGGTAAGAAGTTTTCCTCTGGATATATAAAAATATTTTTCTTAACATTTAATTTGACTGGGAAGAGTGTTAATGCCCTGCTTGAAGCTCAGATGTAACAGTATCTTTCTGTCACGTTTATGGAAGTATGAAACAAACTAGGAGTAATAAAGACTTCTCTCTGTCTACAGATAATGAAATAGTTTCCAGTTTACCACTGCAGATGTCCCTCTATTTCAATGTTTATTTTTTCCCATTTTGGTGGCTCAGCACAGTTGTCATGCTCCATCTGAAGGTGAGTCCTGAAGGAAAGTGATGGCTTGCAAATGTAATATATTTCTGATCAAACACCTCCTAGTACTGGCATAGAGGTCACTGGAGTTAGAGATTATTAGGTTTATTTGGGAATTCCTTGAAACTGGATGTTCAAGACTATTTGAAAACCAGTACAACACTGTCAACTTACAGTAGCATACAGTGTCTTCATTTAATCACAAACAGCATGTTATGAAACAGCACAGCAAAACTTTTACTCTCTTCTTCCCTCTAGTATCCGGTCTTGTCCGATTACTACAAGTTCATCCTGGTCACAATCATGATCCTAGCCTCTCTAATAGAGGTCATTCGACTCTACCTGGGATACATGGGCAATCTGCAGGAGAAGGTATGTTACCACATGTATGTATTAATTTGTGCAGGAGATGTTTTTGGAGTTTAACATAAAGTGGTCTACCAGTTCATCTAAGAGATTTAAGTTGAGGGGATGGTTATTTCTCTTAAGTTACAGTCTGCATCTTCTATTCCCTTGGCATCAGATTCCACTTAATTTTGTGCATTCCAAGAAGTTTTCCCTCAGAAGAGAGCCCTCTCACTCCCCAAAACTGTTTTGTCAGAAAAAAAAAGTATGGTTAAAAACACAGTATATGGAAACGTTACCTCACTTGTGCCATTTTACATTATGTGGTGGCTTTTGGAAGATTAAAAAAAATAAAATGTGTTTTTCTCCACAAAATTTTGGATTTTTTCATCTCCAACTGGCAGTTAATAGGTGATGTCTCCCTGTTATAGGTCCCTGAGCTGGCTGGGTTTTGGCTTCTGAGTCTCCTCCTGCAGTTGCCTATAATTCTCTTCTTGCTATTCAATGAAGGTCTGAAAATTCAGCCACTGGAGCGAGCAGTCCATATTGTCTTTGCCCTCTTCCTCACCTTCCAAGTCATTGCAGCCTTTGTCACCTTGAAAAGAATGGTGAACAAACTGGCAACTCGCTTCCGCCTTAATGAATTTGACCGGCTGGAGGAACATCCTGTGCCTGATTTTTACAGCCTGGGTAAAGAAGAGAGAGTAGTTTCCATGGCTGGTAGGGGCCCCAGTGCTGGCTGGAGATCACACACTGAGGGCCTGAGAAGCTAACAGAGGCAGGCCTCACATTGCTACAACTCTGTTTCCATTTTGTTGGGTCATTCTTTACCTTCCTACATCAGCAATATTGAAGAATAGGTCTTGCTTAAGAGCCAACATTAGACCTCAGAGATTGGAGCTCCCCTCTCCAAGAAAAATCAAAGCCATTTACATAACTGGCTTGAGTGGACTAATTGTGGAGTGTTACTGCGTAGAGTACCAACAGAGTAGGTTTGGTGGTTTTTACATTTTACAAAGTCATGTGGTGTTTTTAAAAAAATCAGAAGCCTTTTTTCCTCACTGTTTGCACAGAATTGTTTTGTTTACAATAAATCTTTTATACATGTTTTCATTTGCGTTGATACCAGTTTTCTCTCTATTCTTCCAGATACGTTGCGCATATTTAATGTCTGGTACCTCAGTTAAGCCAGCCCCGCTCCCCAACCCCCTCCCCCCCAAACCCAAGACAACAAAGAACCCCAAGAAATCTTGAGGCCCAGAAAGAACAATAATAAGATAGTGAACAAAGACTACAGTTTCAGAGGTGGTCTTCCAGATAATTCCATCACTAGGAGTTCCTTACTAATAAACTAGGGATGGAATTTTAAAAGTACTTCTTCCTTAAAACTCCTACAGTCACCTACTTTGGCTTAGCTAGAGTTTTAACTATCAACCCGTTCAAAGAGGGTGGTGCAGTTTTCTCAAACAGAGGATTCAGTAAGTCAGCAGTAACAAAATTACAGCTGTTAAAAAAATTGGTTTCTGTCACTGGAAGGCAAGAGCCCGTTTCTCACAAGCCAGGGCATATACCAAGGTTCTCTCATTCCTATTATTTGTATTAATGTCTAGACTGTCTTCTCCAGTTTCAGTAATGGCTAAAAGTTCACTTTTTCTGTCAAGGAGGGATGGGGATGAAAAGGTAAAATAAAATTTTCATCTGAATCCTTTGAGTCTTAAGCAGGGCAAGAGTCGTCAGTTTTGAGAGCTGGCACAAACATCCAAAATGCTCAAAGGAATATAAAGAAGATGGGTCTAACGTGAAAAAGGCACAGCGTGCTTAAAGCTGCTGCATATTTAAAGCTTATAGCAAAAAGAAGGCATTAACTTTGTTTTATACCAAAACAGTTCATTTTCTTTTTAATCCATGAGTGGTACAATTAATTCTGCTAAATTTCCTTCTTCATTTTGTTATTATAAAGCATATATTACCAGAGCACATACCCCTTTGTTTTCAAACAAACTACTGGCTTGGATTGGCTATTGTGCAGAAAAAGAAGCTTTCTGTAAGAGTCTCCAAGAGTACCTTTAACAGTTAATATAAAACATTTAGAGCCCCATATTCAGAGCCTGCAAGAGAGACAGTGAGGTTTAAGCAGAAGTTACGTAATTTCAAAAACACTTTTACAGCATTAGAAACTACTTGTAAAAACATTCTTAACTGATGCGATGGGAACATTGCACACACTTTTATGTCAACCACAATTACGTTACTGGAGAGTGCCAAGGTCAGGGCTCATGAGCTACAGGGAAAGCTTGGTAGGATCCACTACAGTAACAGATAAGGGCATAATGGGTCCTGACAGGCCAGAAACATCAAATACCTTGGAGCCTCTTTTCTCCAGTGATTGTCACCAGCAACTCACATGTCTTAGTGCCTCAGTAACCATACAGAGCTGCCTCTTCCTGCCCAAATACGGTGGGACTAACACCAAAGGCTGCTCTTGCTGGCCACAGATGTAGGGTAGACCAAGCTTACGTCCAGCACTAGGAAGACCTGGGTGTTAGAGAAATACAGGCTGATGGTGCAGCGTGGGAGCCAAGCATTGCTAGTTTTCAATGCCTTCCAATAGTTTGTCTAAGAGAACATACAAGTTAAGGGAAAGCAGTATTTTTTTCCATAGGTACACCGGCTCTTGGAGTCTGCCCTTGATAACATTGACAGGGCAAGCACTGGGACAGCTTAAAAGTGCACTAGGGCAGTTGCCATCCCTTCTGCTCTGCATGTAGCTTGCCCGTTTCCCTTATTAAAAGCCCACTATGGGACATTAGTAGGGAAGTATACTGAAATGGTACAGTAAGCCAAGCTCTGAGGAGGTAGAGTGATTATGTGTAGTAATCTGATCTCTTGCCTTAACTAGAAAATGGCATATCCTTTGGTTTTCTTTCCTGTATCACCTTAAAAAGTTTAAAACTTAAACTCTTCTGTGAGATTAAGAGTGTAATGGGTGGGAAGGTTTTTAATGCCAACTACATCAAATACAACATAAAGCTGAAAAAAGTCAACCATACACCAATGCTGGCAACAAGGAGCTAGCCTCCAGGCTAAGGCCATGAGGTATGATTCAAAATCATATCGACAAGAAAACATCGATGAGGCAATACAGGAAATAGAATTCAGAGAAACACTGTTAGAGATAGAGTTGCCTGGAAATGCTTAAGGTAGAAACCAGTCTGTGATGTAAAGCTTCAGCAACATATTCGATAAACACAATATCTCTGCATTCTCTCTGCTCAGGCTTCCGAACAGACCTGCTAGTCTGTTTTAATTTCATCATTACCAGTTTAAACATTTAATTATGAAGAAAGCCTGCAAGCACCTAGAACTCAAATTAAGTGCCTACAGCTGCAGTTTTTCCATGATTTTTCTGCTCATGTACCCAGAGACAAGAGGAGGAAATTACAGTAGTGCTCAGGAAAACAGAACAACAAATGGAGAATTGCACTGAAACTTTCCTTCAGTTTCCAGATTTTACAAGAACTGGTAAGACGTCAAATAAGCAGAAAATATACTAGTCACTTGTAACAGTCAAATTTCAGACACATAAAAGCAAAATTTGGAATGGAAGCTTTCTATAAGCATGTTGGGGCGGGCAGGGAAGAGAATCAAGTGAAATAAATGAGAAGAAAAGTGGGGAAAAACACTACAGAAAGTACTTGCACAATAAGTATAAATGAGAAAATAAGTGGAGGAACTTTTTAGCATCGAGAGAAAAGCAGCAATAATGGCATTAATGTTTTAAAGAAAAACATAGGAAAGCTTGGTTTGGTTCTAATGAAGTAGTTCAGGAATAATTGCCAGAACAGACTGGAAGCAGTGAAAGGTACATGAGAACTTCAAACGGGCACAGCAGGAAAGCTAGCAGTCCTTCATAAAGCCTCTTCCTCCTGTTACTCAGATAGCTATGGGCAGGTCTGTTGTCCCATAACAGGAAGAATACGCTCATCTTGCAGTGCAAAGTGTTCATGAGTAGAACATGAGAATTTAAGATTCAGCAAATCAGGTGTTTGGGGAGTGAGGGGGTTTGGTGTTCCCCCTTCCCTCCCCAGAACAGATGGAAACAAAGGTGAAAGGAGGGAACTCAAGAACATTGGAAACTAGTAAAAGTTCATTGAGCAGTATCTAGTCAGTTTTGAACACAAGCTGTACCATAGTGGCTTTTTGCCACACTAGGGTTTGTGCAGAGAAAACCAAAAAATGTGGTTTTTGATGATCTAAATAGCCACCAATAGTTCTTCTTTCACAAGCAAGATCGCTGAACAGCAGAAGTCTATATACAGAACTCAGTTATTTCATTTCACCAAGTTTACTGTTAGGAAAGGCCAACAGCCAAATGTAAAGGAAATTTGTACCAACATATTTCCTTTAACTGAAGAAAAGAAATGAGGAATGGGTATATTATCTTAAAATGCTCTTTTTTAAAGTTACTGATCAATTTGAAGATGAGGAGTATTTTGTGTTCAAGGGCATAGTTCCCGTGTTGTTAATACCTGAACTTGGCATGTGTTCCTTGTCTAAAATAGACTTTGTAAAAGGATTTTTTTTTTTAATAGTTGCAGGACTTCCGAGAAGGGAAATTAAATTTGGAAGAGGCTTCAATTATGTACCTTACTCAAGCAGATCTGATAAAGCAGACATGAGATAAGGCACAGATTTGATAAAAAACAGACAATTGATAAAAAAGGGGATACAACATTAACCTTTCTGTATCAACAATTCACTCTTCCAGATTGCTGAAAGAATTGCACCCCAAGGAATGAGATCATACATTTCACTCTTGCCTTTGTCTCTTATAAACTAGACTAGACTTAGTGTTAATCTTTAAATAGTTAATGAAACAGATAGATAAATAGTTAATGAAACACGGTCTGATAAGCTAGTCAATAGTAATATTTGATAGCTAGGTAAAGCTATCATTTATTTTGAAAAAACAAATTTTGTTTTTCCAGGACAAAGATCAGATGGCAGCAATTAAAAAGGACTTTGTTCAGTGCTTCAAATAAAGCAAAGATAAGGAAGAGGTCTTCTATAAGAGGCAGGCAAAGCAGTATATAAGGGTCAGCTGATAAGACGAAGAAGAATTTAAACTATAACAGAATAAATAGGTTCAAGAAGTGTAACACTGAGGAAAAATGAGTATGTTGATGATTGATGCCACTGACGGAGCCCCTGGGTACACAAAGCAAAGGATTTATTAAAAGGAAATAAACGTGCGAGGTTACTAGCTTGAAATCTTATAGGGATTCAGAGGAAACATTATTCCCCCAGCTCAGCAGCTGCCTACAGGACACAGTTCCACATTCATTAAATACATGCAACTTTTGCAGCTCGTTATAAAAAAAAAACCCCTTTCTTCTTCAGATGATCCAAAGTTTGAAAGTAATAAAAATACAGTCCCTGGGAAGCACATAGTCACCAAGAGACATGAGCACAGCGGTGAAACCGCAGAAAGAAACGAACAAACCTGTCAGGCAGCTGCAAGCGCAACCATAGTAAGACCTATAGCTTCCCTGGTGAGTGTAGGAAGTATTAGTGACTTCCTTGAGAGCTGTCTTGAACATCCAGTGTTAGGGAAGGAGTTCCTGCAGTCTGTGAAAGAAGCTACTGTTGTTCTTTAAGGGATAGAAAAGACCCTTCTTTATTCACACTGGTAGACCCACACTGTTCCCAAGTAAAAAATTCAAGCAAAAATGCTTGAACACTCTTTAGTTACCACATTCTCAATTTATTGAAGATGTGCCATAAACTGAACTCATTAAGGTGAGAAGAATATCAGATATACCTATTCCTAATCACTTGTACTGCTAATGCCAGGGGAGATGTATTTCTTATGAGTTTACACAGAGAAAGCCTATGGCACGCTGGAGCTTTGAACAGAACCTCCTATTCCATGCAGCTACTGGTCCCCAGTTGCTTAAAGAGGAGCCTACTGCTTGTGTCAATCCAGAGTGATTCCTAACAGTCAATGTG